GGTAAAATGTTTCCCAACAAAATTTGAATATATGCTTAACCAAATTCATTCCTTCTCACTTCTATGATGACACAGAATGGGGGTCATCTGTCCTTACAGGTTCTCTGTGACCTCCTTCTTATACTAAGAAAATATTGTCACAACTACTAGCATTTATATGACTTATTGAGCCATTCGGTCTTACGTATAGAGCTAAGAGCTTTAAGAGACTTATTTCATTTGTTCTGTAGAGTAATTTCATGTGATAAGTATGTTATTATCCCCAATTTATAGATAATGTAGCTGAAGCTTGGAAAGTTTAGGAAGTGGGCACAAAGTCACACAGTCAACAGCAGAGGAAGACATTTCCACCTTCCACACTCAGAATGCTAGTGTTGCCTTCTGAGGTCTCCAAGAGCTAGCCCTTGGAACACAGTTGATCATTGTAGAGGTTTCTTTTCTGGAAGTTTGGTGAATAGCGGGATGTGGAGCTGTGGTAAAAGCAGAATTAAGCTTTTGTAACTCCTCTCCTTCCATATAGTTTTCCTTTACTCAAATCCTTGTTTTTCAAGGTATACTGAATGAAGTTGATAAATTCTGCCTCACTGTTTTAGTTCATGGATTGCATAAAGACATCTAAGTAACAAAGTTGTATACAATGTGATGTATTACATGGATGTTCAATAATTTTTAGTTTCCCTTATAATACACAGCAAATGCTCGACCAGGGAACCTATACTAGAATGGAACTACCTCACATAAGTAATTTAAATTGATTATTCACATGTAGTTTCTTACTGGCTTTTATATTGAGTGAAGATAGCCTATTTTATAAGGGATGTGTCAAGGGATGTTTGAACTAACATCTCAGGCAAGATTGGCATTTAATATTAGCTGATAACATTCCCTATATCCCTATGTTGGGGTGCCATGCTCAGCCTTAATGCAGGAGGGAGGGGCTTGGTCCTGCCTCAACTTAATGGACCAGGCTTTGTTGCCCACCATAACAGGAGCCCTTACCCTTTGGGAGGAGTGAGTGGGGAGGTAGGCTGGGGAGGAGGTGAGTGGGGGCAGGAGGAGGGATGGGAAAGAGCACTATGATTGGATATTAAATGAAATTAAAATGAATAAAATAATTGAAAAATCCCAAATTAGCTGATAACTATTTGTCTATTATGCCTAGCAGTGCTTGTGAGGCCTAAACGTCTGTTGTTATGGGAAATACATCATTCACCTTGGTGGCAGAAAACTCACATTGTATTTAGTGCTCTAAGAAACCACTGGAGTTATGCTATCAGACAGACCCATCCATGGGACAGTAGTAAGTGTGGAGGAAACAAAATAGCTTCATGAAGTCTCCAAAGGGCCTCACGGAGTGACAAATTGTGATTCCTGGAAAGAAAGTTAGGTTTATAGAGATACTGATATATAGTATGGTTTGGAAAAAAGTCTCCCCAAAAGACTCATATGTTGCATATGTAGTCCCAAAACGGTATGTGTAATTATTAAAAGCAAGGTAGATAATGAAAGTTCTCATGGGATTAAATGACCCATAACTCTAATATACTTTAGTGGCATTATTGGCGAGGCAGGTATGGTTGGAGGAAACAAGTCCCTGGGTGGAATGTGCACCTTCTGAGAAAGCATATTACCCCTTCTACTCTGTTTGTTTCCTAGTTGATCCAAGAAGAGCAATTTTGACCTACCATACCTTCCTTCCATGATGTTATAGTTTTGCTAGAGGCATGAAGCAATAAAGGTTACATGAATGAACATTCTGAAACTATGAGCCACAAAACATCTCTCATCCTTTAAGTTATTTACCTGAGGCATTGGTTATGATCATGGAAAAATAACATATAGCATATCTCTCAAAATTCCATTGAGGCACCACTTAGTCCTCACAAATAATAATATTAGACTATTCCTCCAGAGTCTGATTAACTAGTTCTTGAGGGTTACTAGACATGTGCAGATGATTTATATATAGCATCTCGAGAAAAAAAAATGCTGAATTGGGTAAGCTTTGTGCAGATTTGTTATATTGCTTCAGTGTGTGCTTAGCCAACAAAAGCCACTCGTGGCCTTGACAGAGTCCGGAAGGAGGGAGGGAGAAAGGGTAAGAGTTGTCAAAGGCTTGGATAGCAACTGTGTCATTATCGATTGCTCTTGCCAGCCGGGCTCTAGACAAGTGCTATGTCGTTTTGACCTTTTCCCCATAATGGGCAGTAAGCATCAAGTATAACTATAAAGCAACACAAGGTCAGAATTCATTTTCTTCTGAAGACGAGACACATTACTCAGCCCCATCTAATACTTCAGTCCTATGGACAACTCAATGCATAAGATGGGCTGAGAGCTTTCCCAACTGAGAAAGGGCCAGCACCTTGGCAGTTTGGAGCCCTAGGGGATAGTGCAAAAGGATGAAAGCTGCTATAGCAATATGGTCCTTAGATCTGGTTTCAACTGGAGTTCCTTAGAGTTGACATGGTCTGTCCTCCTGACAGGCCTCTGTGTGATCTTCTCCCACATATCCAGTCATTTTAAGAAACTATTATCTAATTATATAAATACATGTAAAATATCATTGAACTGTGAACCCTCAATCTGAGTTTATGTATTTAAGATAGATCACCATGCATTTATGACTGTCAATGCAAAATGACGACAGTGGTCCATTAAAATGGGCACTATCATTGCTTCTTACATTCTTCTGCTATGTAACAGCCTGCTTTCTCTAGGAACTGTAGCCAGTACCTGTACCACTATCAAATAAATGATTGATCTTTTAAGATTCTTCTCTACTCCATTGGCTTTATCAACTAGTCCCTCTTCCCTTTGTGTCAGTTGTATATAGCAATGACCACGATAGACTATTCTTGAAGGTATAAGATGAGCAATACAGGCAGAGTTTCTGAGATAGGAGGACTTGGGGCCAAACTGGGGAACCAGACATAAAATCATCCTCTTGACTTCAAGCACTTCCTAAACTTCATATTTCCACAGAAGCAGAGAAGATGAATAACCATGGTGTACTCCTCTATTGAGTTAGGAAAGTAACTTCCATCAGGAGGGGACCATGTCCCAGTTTCAGAATTATCTTTAATATTTCCCTATAGGTGTTAGCATTGTATTTTGACCAACAAAAATTCTCTACATCTGTTTCTGCACCCCTTTTATTTTTCTGTTCTCTGGATACGTGTGTGGTCTGAAAATTTGCTAACTGTCTACAAGAAGTAGGCATCATCCTCACAGCACACCTTTGAGCCAGATAGAACCATCACCCCAATTTTGTACATACAAAGACCCAGCCAAAGAATGGAGAAGTAGAAAAGATAACAAACATTTGAATTTAGGGTTGTATCATCTCTACCCCTGTGTTCTTAGCCACTGAATTATTTTACCCCAGTGTTGAGCAAGTTACATTCTCCTGAGCAATATTTCTACCTGTGTTCAGATCAATAACTAAAGCTTGGGTATCTCTAGCCCTTAAAATATAACATCTAGTGAATAATGATTGGTGGGTGGGGAGAGTGCAGGCCATTCTCAGTGGCATGAATTTTCACTGTGTTTTTTTATTCAGTTGATATGTGTTATTACTCTCCTTCCATCTTAATTTTGCAGTCTCACATGGAGACTGGCAACTCATCTAACCCTGAGCTCCATGGACCTAATTGTCCATATTTTCTTATAAATTGTGTTCCTTCTATTTTCATCTGTCTGTCTGTGTGTCTCTCTGTCTTGCCCCCAACACACACACACACACACACACACACACACACACACACACACACCTCTTTATATTTATATATGATTCAATAGGGATGAAAAAAGAAGGTTTGTATATAGATATGGAAAAACAACTGACACTGAAACACTGAAAATGTATACAGTGACTGTCAAAACGTCACCCTGAAAGCAATTCAGTTGTATATATGGCAAAAGTATGAAAAATTATGCTGATGTACAGATGGGGGAGAGGTCATGGGGTACACTCCATGTCCTGCATAATTATCAGTGACAAATGACTCTAGAGAAAGAGTAACAATGTCTTCAGTTTGTCCTTAGTTGTATATATATTGTTGAGCCCACTAAGCTCCAGTGGATACTTCCAAGCCCATGTTCACAAAGATGTCATTAGTTGAACCCAGTGGGACACAAAACAAAAGACATGAATTTGAGAAAGGAATTTATAAGGAGGATGGGAACTGTATGTGGTGGGAAGTGAGAGTAAATAGAATGCATCTTACACATGTATGAAAATGTCAAAGACCATATTTTAACTATTAAGGACTAAAATGCAAATTAAATTGCATACCCATGAACACCTTTTTAAAAGTAACCAAGCTGAATTTTAGCACAGCTGTGATAGTAAATAGAGTGAAGAGAAAGGTTTGGGGAGCAGTTTTTGGCACACCCCACGGGAGGAAACTAACTCCATGGATGTTTTTAGAGGGCACTTTAGCAATAGACATCAAGCATCTTAATCTGTTCCTTTGATATCTTTTGCTAATGACCATGGTGACTTCAGTGTCTCATTAATTTAATTTAATTGGGTGAAGAATACATGGTAGAATTTTGCAAGATACTTGTAAAGCACAGTTATAGGGAGAAAGATATTATTATTCCCCAGAAAATTCAAAAATTCTAGTAAAATTCATATGGTTTTCTTTGTCATGTGCTGTTAATTATCTAATACTCTTTGGGGGCATTTTAATTTGAAGCAGGATTGAGAAGCTTGATCAAACTCTTAGATTTTCTGAAGGAAACCTTTCCTTCTTTGCTCACTTTTGAAATCTTCCTTTAGCTAACAAACCTTATCCTTATACATAATAAAAGCATCTTTTAATTTAATTATACTAATCAGGCATTTAAAATAAGCCATTTTCCTAGAGCCATGGGGACCTTTTTGTTCCCATGTTGTATATTAAAGAATTCTGAGGTTGTACCATGCATGGTGATAGACCAATGGGGTACAAGAAAACAACCACTTTTGGGTTATTTCAATGTTGGGCTCTTACCATCTGCAATGAAGTGTTCAGGCACATGCAAAGTGACCTTCACAGTAAGTGGACAGGACATCTGGTTGCCACACACCATGGCCAAGACGCAGGAACTCACAGCAATCAGTGTCAAGGCTGTCTTGTTAACTGGGCTTTTCAATAAACCTGGAAAACAAATACACAGAAAAATAACTCCATCAGGTGAGAATAGGGGATGGTGTGGAAGTAGGAAAGCCTATAGTTCCCTGGTATGAATACTAACCAAGAGGAAAAGGAAAAGGGAGGGACTGGGGTAGTAAAGGAAGGATGAAGGGAGAGAGGAAAAGAGAAAGGAAAGAAAAGAGGACATGAAATTAGGATGGTGTTATTTTGTGGGTTATTGGGAAGATTTAGAGGGAAGAATTGAGGGTGGACATTTATTATACAAATGCACAAAATTCTCAAGAACCAAGATAAATTAATAAATAAAATATAAAATTACATTTATGACAGAGGGCTATAGACAAACCATATTTTCCAACCTCTTATTGGGGTTCTGATTTATACATCTGAAAATAGGCTTGCTAATTTTTTTGGTAAAAAAGAAAGAAATCAGCTTCTAAGTGTTGGCAATCCTACCATTCCAATTTAGATGGTCATTCTTGATAACAACAGTATAGTACTAAACTCCCTTTAGAAAGTAAATGAAAAGACATTATGTGGTTGCACTTACTAAGAGGGAGCAGAACAAGTATGCTCTTTGAGTTAAGACTATACTGGATTCAAAGTTGATGCTTATCCCTTATGTCTTGGATTTAGAATGTTACCTAAAGGCCTATATATTGGAAGCCTGACTCCACAATACAACCCAGGTTCCAAACTGGGCTTTCTAAGAAATGATGGGATTATAAGGTGTCTATTTTCATCAATGAATGGATATTCATTCGGGAATTCATGGTTGGAGTTACTGCTAGGGTGGAGGTGAGGACCTAGGTAGAAGTAGATCAGTTGTTGGGTCATGTCCTAGAAGGGTATTTCTGTCTTTGGCCCATTACTCTACTCTACTGTTCCCTTTGATTCCCAGCCACAACAAGGTCTAGAAGCAATGGAACCAAAGGAGATTCAAGCAAACCTCCACCAGAATGAATCTCCTCTCCTTTATGTTTATTGTCTTGTGTATTTTGCTAGAGTGATGTAAAGTTGACTAATATATCCCTCACTGGCTGTGTGAATTGCTTCATTCTCCAAACCTCTATTCTTTGGGGGCCTGGAGAGTTTGTGGTCAACTTACCACAAACAAGAGTCACCTGGGAAGAGGGATCCTCAATTGAAATATTTCCTCCATCAGATCATCTTGTGGGCATTCTCTAGGGATATTTTCCTGTTTCTTTATTAATAGAGAAAGGCCTACCTCCTTGTGAGTAATGCCACACATGGGCAGGTAGTCTTGGATTGCATAAGGAAGATAGTTGACCAAGCCAGAAGAACCTAGCCAGTAAACAGTATCCCTCTGTGTTCTTTGCTTCAGTTCCAGCCTCCAGATTCTTGCCTTGAGTTCTTCCCCTCCCTTCCCTTGATGATGGACTATAGCTTATGAGCTGAAATAAACTGTTTCCTCCCCCAAGTTGTTTTTGGTCATGGTTTTATCACTCCAACAGAAAGTAACTAGAATATTTGTCATATATGTTGAGGATAATATTAAATACCTCACAGGATTGCCATGATGATTACATGATATACATATATAACACCTGCCAAATAGAAATATTTCATCGTCACAAACTGTTTAGCATAAGTCAATTTCACCAGCTTGGACTGAACACTTAATTTGTGAAACTAGCATGTCACAGAATAAGAATAGGTCCTGCCTAGGACTTTGGATATGACACAGACAGGAAATTGCTTGTTTTCAGCACAAAGACCTGAATTTAATCTCCAGAACACAAACATTTTTTTTAAAGCTGGCTTGGCGGTGTACAATTGTGATGCTAGGACTGGAGCGAAAGAGATAGTCAGGCTTCTGTGACTCACTAGCCAGCATGCTTAGCCTACAAGGCAAGTTCTAGGTTCTAGAATAATGAGAGCCCATATCTCAAAAATCAAGGTGACAGCCACCAAGGAACAACTGTGGTTGGCTTCTGGCCTTCATATGCATGAGCACATGAGTATATGTGCATCCAAAGACAAGTCCAACACACACATATGAACATGTACTTACATTGCCCATCCTAGACTACCCACTGCTCTTTAGGAGTTTACTTACAGGCTAGGATAAAAAATCAGACTTGTCCTCCCTTCATTAGATTCCTAAACACACTGTGTTAAACCTAGACAGGAGGGCACAGTGTGTGAAGGAGAATTCTGCATGGGTAAATTAAAGTAATTTTATGGACACAGTGGAATAAGTAGATTAGATTTGCATGACCAGGAATGCTCTGGGGCCATCAAACAGAGACCTGACCCCTCTAATCCTCATTCTTTGAGCTTTTCTCTTTGTTTCTACTTTCAAGGTTTAGATCATTGGCTTTTACACCATATTTTTCAAATTTTCTTTACCTCTTCACTTGGGAAATTACACTTATGTATGAGGCCATCCACAAGCATGCCAAATATAACCCATTGAAAACAACACATCTTCTCAAAGTCCACTGCTATTCTTGACATTGTCAATATTTAAAGTCTCACCATTTCAATGCTTAAATGTAAGTGCTTAAATGTCTTCTTTGGAACTTTATCTTCTCTCATTACAGAAACAAAAACAGTCAAACAGCCTTTACTTTTTTAAAGTTGAGAAATATTTTAGTATGTGATTTACAATTGTATAACGATACAAAATTTAATACAATTTCCCTTGTTAGTGTTGTTGATCAGAAAAGATCTAAAGTGCTGTTAGAGTAAAATTATTCCAAGGGAATGGTTTAATGGATTGTACAATGATACCATGGACTGGATTATGTTCTGAAAATTCATGTATGGAAGCTTAACCTCAATTGTGGCTTGCCTTGGAATGAAGTTTAGATGTAGAGAACTATTTTAAATGGATTCATAATGGAGAGGAACTCTTGTAGTCTGGTTTTCTGTTGTTGAGACAAAACATTAAACAAAGCCAATTTTTGGTAGGCAAGGGTTTAATCTAGCTTACAATTCCTAATCATAGTCCATAAATGAGGGAAGTCAGCAGCCCACTTTTTCTTTGAAGTTGGTATTTTCAGCCACCCTCTCTCCCTCTCTCCCCATTCCTTCTGTTGCCTGCTTGCAGGATGAGAAAGGTGTTGGCATACATGGCAACTCACTCCTTGCTGAAACCTCTGGAGCTATTTTATAACATCTGTTCACAGTATGTGGTCCATATTCATCAACCTGGCATCCACAGCATTTCACAAAGACCCCCACATTCAGGTCTCATGTGCTTTCTGCTACCTGGCCCAGGTGCTAGCAGAGCTGAATTGCTGAAAAATCCTCATAGTAAGCAACAACATCGTGTTTTCCATATTGTGTGTTGTTCCTTCAGGTATTATCCCACCTGTTCCTTTATCCCTATCCCTAACCATCCTTGTTTGAGATTCACAATAAATGGAGTTTCTTCATATTCTACTCATATAAGCATGCTTAATGTTTCCCCCAATTACTTGTTATACGGCTTATGTGTTTGACTACTCAGTCCTTGGTTCATAAACTGAAAAATATTAGGAGGTTTGGCCTTGTTGAAGTAAGTATGTCATTGGGAGTAGACTTTAAGGCTTCAATAATAAATGTACACTGGACCAGGATCTAGTATATATACAACAAACTCTTTGAACTTCATCTAAGTGCCTAACAATGTCTGAAACATGGTGGCATTACAGTACATATATAATCACTTCCAGAAACAAAGTAATGTCAACCAACATGAGTACTGACCATTCCAAAAGAATGCCAACTAGCATAGACATCCTACTGGGGTCTAGCATAACAAGAGACCTCATGGCATCCCACTTTGGGATTTTATGGACATCTATTTCCTATTGATATACAGTGAGCTGCTTGAGGGGAAAATAGCATATCTTGCATTTGTGTGTCTTTCATGCACACCTCATGCTTGGGATTAAAAGTTGCTTCATTTAAGAGAAGGATCCTTGCCTTTCATCCAAGTCCTAATACAATGTGTCACATAGAAGGAACTATTCACATATTTTTTAGTGTTAGAGATATAGGACAAAGGATAAATGAAAGAATAGATTAAATTATAGATGGTTCTGGTGTCAAGAGATGGGATATTCCAAAAACTTAAATTTGCTTCAGGGTAAAAAGAAAGAACAAATTGTATTTCTTATCTGAGTGTTCCAAATGTTTCAAGTGCCAATTTTAGTAACTCTACAGCATGTATAAGCCAACATCAATGTTCTCTAAGAGAAAGAAGGTACATGATGGGCTAGAGTTGTGCATAGAGCTCACCTTAAATAGCTACTGTACCACTCTATACATCATTATTTCACACATAACAGTGGTGGCAGTTTCTATTCAAGAGTCTATGGAGTGTATTCTTAGACAAGTGGCATATAAGGAAAAGTCTAACATGAACAAGTTCTTCAAGGAATACAATCCGAGTGATGGAAGGAAAATGATTTTTGGAGCTGGCACCTTAGAAGAGAATGTCAGTGGTGGTCTGAATGAGTCTGGCCTCCATAGTCTCCTATGTTTTTATACTTGGTCCTTAGTTGATAGAACTGTTTAGGAAGGATTAGGAGATGCAGTCTTCTCAGAAGAGGTATGTCACTTTGGAGGTGGGTCAAAAGACTTGTGCCATTCCCAGCTAGTTCTCTTGCCCTTATGTTTTTGTTTTAAGATGTGTGCTGCTGTTCCAGTATCATGCCTGTCTGCCTGCTCACTACCATGATTGCCATGGACTCTAGTCTTCTGAAATTGTCAGGCACAAAGTAAATGCTTTTAAATAACATCTTGCCTTGGCCACAGTGTTTTACAACAACAATATAAAAGAAAATAAGATGACATCCCATCCGGTGAGTCATGTAAAAAAAGACTATGACCTCTGAGAAAGCATTTTCTTTTCCTAGTTCATGCAGCAGTAGGTATGGATAGGGCCAAGAATTGATTTTACTATCAGAAAGGCTACTTAGACACACAAAGCAGTCTCCAAGGTAAGGAAGACACCCAAGGACCAGGACAGTGATTGTTCACCTTTTTTT